GGGTGGTGGAGATGGTGATGGGTGGGACACGTGGTGTGCAGGGTGGTGGAGGAGGTGGTGATGGGTGGGACACGTGGTGTGCAGGGTAGAGGAGGAGGTGGTGATGGGTGGGACACGTGGTGTGAGGGTGGAGGAGGTGGTGATGGGTGGGACGCGTGGTGTACAGGGTGGAGGAGGTGGTGATGGGTGGGATGCGTGGTGTGCAGGGTGGTGAAGGAGGTGGTGATGGGTGGGACACGTGGTGTGGAGGGTGGAGGAGGTGGTGGTGGGTGGGACACGTGGTGTGCAGGGTGGAGGAGGTGGTGATGGGTGGGACACGTGGTGTGCAGGGTGGAGGAGGTGGTGATGGGTGGGATGCGTGGTGTGCAGGGTGGTGAAGGAGGTGGTGATGGGTGGGACACGTGGTGTGGAGGGTGGAGGAGGTGGTGGTGGGTGGGACACGTGGTGTGAGGGTGGTGGAGGTGGTGATGGGTGGGACACGTGGTGTGCAGGGTGGTGGAGGAGGTGGTGATGGGTGGGACACGTGGTGTGCAGGGTGGAGGAGGTGGTGATGGGTGGGACACGTGGTGTGGAGGGTGGAGGAGGTGGTGGTGGGTGGGACACGTGGTGTGGAGGGTGGAGGAGGTGGTGGTGGGTGGGACGCGTGGTGTACAGGGTGGAGGAGGTGGTGATGGGTGGGACGCGTGGTGTGCAGGGTGGAGGAGGAGGTGATGGGTGGGACACGTGGTGTGCAGGGTGGAGGAGGAGGTGGTGATGGGTGGGACGCGTGGTGTGGAGGGTGGAGGAGGTGGTGATGGGTGGGACACGTGGTGTGCAGGGTGGAGGAGGAGGTGATGGGTGGGACACGTGGTGTACAGGGTGGTGGAGGTGGTGATGGGTGGGACACGTGGTGTGCAGGGTAGAGGAGGAGGTGGTGATGGGTGGGACGCGTGGTGTGCAGGGTGGTGGAGGTGGTGATGGGTGGGACACGTGGTGTGCAGGGTGGTGGAGGTGGTGATGGGTGGGACACGTGGTGTGCAGGGTGGAGGAGGTGGTGATGGGTGGGACACGTGGTGTGCAGGGTGCAGGAGGAGGTGATGGGTGGGACACGTGGTGTGGAGGGTGGAGGAGGTGGTGATGGGTGGGACGCGTGGTGTGCAGGGTGGAGGAGGAGGTGGTGGGTGGGACACGTGGTGTAGAGGGTGGAGGAGGTGGTGATGGGTGGGACACGTGGTGTGGAGGGTGGAGGAGGTGGTGATGGGTGGGACACGTGGTGTGCAGGGTGGTGGAGGAGGTGGTGATGGGTGGGACACGTGGTGTGGAGGGTGGAGGAGGTGGTGATGGGTGGGACACGTGGTGTGGAGGGTGGAGGAGGTGGTGATGGGTGGGACACGTGGTGTGAGGGTGGTGGAGGTGGTGATGGGTGGGACACGTGGTGTGCAGGGTAGAGGAGGAGATGGTGATGGGTGGGACACGTGGTGTGGAGGGTGGAGGAGGTGGTGATGGGTGGGACGCGTGGTGTGGAAGGTGAAGGAGGTGGTGGTGGGTGGGACACGTGGTGTGCAGGGTGGAGGAGGTGGTGATGGGTGGGACACGTGGTGTGAGGGTGGAGGAGGTAGTGATGGGTGGGACACGTGGTGTGGAGGGTGGAGGAGGTGATGGGTGGGACACGTGGTGTGCATGGTGGAGGAGGTGGTGATGGGTGGGACACGTGGTGTGCAGGGTGGAGGAGGAGGTGGTGATGGGTGGGACGCGTGGTGTGGAGGGTGGAGGAGGTGGTGATGGGTGGGACACGTGGTGTGCAGGGTAGAGGAGGAGGTGGTGATGGGTGGGACGCGTGGTGTGGAGGGTGGAGGAGGTGGTGATGGGTGGGACACGTGGTGTGCAGGGTGGAGGAGGAGGTGATGGGTGGGACACGTGGTGTGCAGGGTGGAGGAGGTGGTGATGGGTGGGACGCGTGGTGTGCAGCGTGGAGGAGGTGGGGATGGGTGGGACACGTGGTGTACAGGGTGGAGGAGGTGGTAATGGGTGGGACACGTGGTGTACAGGGTGGAGGAGGTGGTAGTGATGGGTGGGACGCGTGGTGTGGAGGGTGGAGGTAGTGATGGGTGGGACACGTGGTGTTAAGGTGGAGGAGGTGGTGATGGGTGGGACGCGTGGTGTGGAGGGTGGAGTAGGTGGTAGTGATGGGTGGGACACGTGGTGTGGAGGGTGGAGGTAGTGATGGGTGGGACACGTGGTGTGGAGGGTGGAGGAGGTGGTGATGGGTGGGACGCGTGGTGTGCAGGGTGGAGGAGGTGGTGATGGGTGGGACGCGTGGTGTGTAGGGTGGAGGAGGTGGTGATGGGTGGGACGAGTGGTGTGCAGGGTGGAGGAGGAGGTAGTGATGGGTGGGACACGTGGTGTGGAGGGTGGAGGTAGTAGTGATGGGTGGGACACGTGGTGTGGAGGGTGGAGGTGGTAGTGATGGGTGGGACGCGTGGTGTGCAGGGTGGAGGAGGGGGTGATGGGTGGGACGAGTGGTGTGGAGGATGGAGGAGGTGGTGGTGATGGGTGGGACGTGTAGTGTGGAGGATGGAGGAGGTGGAGGTGATGGGTGGGACACGTGGTGTGGAGGGTGGAGGAGGTGGTGATGGGTGGGACGAGTGGTGTGAGGGTGGAGGAGGTAGTGATGGGTGGGACGAGTGGTGTGTAGGGTGGAGGAGCTGGTGATGGGTGGGACGAGTGGTGTGCATGGTGTAGGAGGAGGTGGTGATGGGTGGGACGCGTGGTGTGAGGGTGGAGGAGGTAGTGATGGGTGGGACGAGTGGTGTGTAGGGTGGAGGAGCTGGTGATGGGTGGGACGAGTGGTGTGCAGGGTGTAGGAGGAGGTGTTGATGGGTGGGACACGTGGTGTGGAAGGTGGAGAAGGAGGTGATGGGTGGGACACGTGGTGTAGAGGGTAGAGGAGGAGGTAGTGATGGGTGGGACGCGTGGTGTGAGGGTGGAGGAGGTCGTGATGGGTGGGACGAGTGGTGTGCAGGGTGGTGGAGGTGATGATGGGTGGGACAATTGGTGTGAGGGTGGAAGAAGAGGTGATGGGTGGGACGCGTGGTGTAGAGGGTGGAGGAGGTCACCGTGAAGGACATGGCGTGACACCCAGAGGTTGGATACCAATGGGGGTAGTAGGTGGGGGGGGGGGGGGGGAGGGAACACGCCGGGCTCGAGATTGGGGACAAAACCTCGATCGGCTTTTACGATCAACGTCTACGGCCCCGCTCGGGCCAATGTCGGCATGCGCGTTTATGCAACCGCAGTAAAAAATCCAAATAAACACACGGCTGGGCAATATTTGGGGTTTACGGCTCTGCAAATAGAAAGACCTTGACGGGACTACCACCACGACTACTACCCCCGGTCGTCTGACTGTAAGATCTGAGCCGCGTCGATTGGTTGACCCGTTGAATCCCCACCACCCAACCCACCCAACCCACCTTGGGTTGAGGACAAGCCGTAAAGTGACCCGTTCTAAAAGGCGATCGGCTGTCGGCGGCTCAACTTGTAATCACGGCGTGCCCATCGCGGCTACCGTTCACTCGGCTCTGCGAGGACACGTGTCGTCTCGTGCAACCCACGGACTCACTCGTCCGCTCACCCAACCGATCACAGACTCACTCGTCTGCTCACCCACCCGATCACGGACTCACTCGTCCGCTCACCCAACCGATCACAGACTCACTCGTCTGCTCACCCACCCGATCACGGACTCACTATTTTCTAGAAGGTATCGCTGATTCCCCGGCCGCTCGCTCCCTGTAATTGGGGGGGTGAGGATGTGGGGGGGGGGTCGGCACGTGGTTCCGCGCTCACAGACAACAAACTGACCACAAAAAGTCGTCGGTGATGACGAGGATGATGATGACGATGATGATGACGATGATGACGACGATGAAGACGACGATGATGACGATGATGACGACGACGATGAAGACGACGATGATGACGACGATGATGACGATGACGACGATGATGACGACGACGATGATGATGACGACGATGATGATGACGATGATGACGACGACAATGATGATGACAACGATGACGACGATGACGACGGCGATGACAACGATGATGACGACGATGATGACAACGATGACGACGATGACGACGGCGATGACAACGATGATGACGACGATGATGACAACGATGACGACGATGATGACGACGATGATGACGACGACGACGATGACGATGATGACGACGATGATGACGACGACGATGACGACGATGACAATGATGACAACGACGATGATGACGACGACGATGACGATGATGACAACGACGATGATGATGATGACAATGATGACAACGACGATGATGACGACGACGATGACGATGATGACGACGATGATGACGACGACGATGACGACGATGATGACGACGATGATGACGACGATGACGACGATGACGACGATGATGACGACGACGATGACGACGATGACGACGATGATGACGATGATGATGACGATGATGACGACGACGATGACGACGATGACGACGATGACGACGATGATGACGACGACGATGACGACGATGACGACGATGATGACGATGATGACAACGACGATGATGACGACGATGATGACGATGATGATGACGATGATGATGACGACGATGACGACGATGACGACGATGATGACAACGATGATGATGACGACGACGATGACGACGACGATGACGATGATGACGACAATGACGACAACGATGATGATGACGACGATGACGACGACGATGACGACAACGACGACGATGACGACGATGATGACGACGATGACGACGACGACGATGACGATGATGATGACGATGACGATGATGACAACGATGACGACGGTGACGACGACGATGACGACAACGATGACGATGATGATGATGATGACGATGATGATGACAATGACGACGACGACGATGATGACAACGACGACGATGACGACGATGATTGCGCGTGTGACCACCCCCGCCCCCCTCTACCTTGACCCCGCCAGGCCCGCTCTGGCTGACACGTGGTACTCGCTCTCCTACCTCTACTTCAGCGCTGTGGGGACCGTGGCGGTCGTCGCGCTCGGCCTTCTGGGAAGCTTCCTCTTCGGTCAGAACTACACGCTGCTGTTGCCTAGCGACGCTGTTGTTGCCTAGCGACGCTGTTGTTGCCTCTAGCGACGCTGTTGTTCTAGCGACGCTGTTGTTGCCTAGCGACGCTGTTGTTGCCTCTAGCGACGCTGTTGTTGCCTCTAGTGACGCTGTTGTTGCCTCTAGTGACGCTGTTGTTGCCTAGCGACGCTGTTGTTGCCTCTAGTGACGCTGTTGTTGCCTAGCGACGCTGTTGTTGCCTCTAGTGACGCTGTTGTTGCCTCTAGTGATGCTGTTGTTGCCTAGTGACGCTGTTGTTGCCTCTAGTGACGCTGTTGTTGCCTAGCGACGCTGTTGTTGCCTCTAGCGACGCTGTTGTTGCCTCTAGTGACGCTGTTGTTGACTAGCGATGCTGTTGTTGCCTCTAGTGATGCTGTTGTTGCCTAGCGACGCTGTTGTTGCCTAGCGATGCTGTTGTTGCCTAGTGACGCTGTTGTTGCCTCTAGTGATGCTGTTGTTGCCTAGCGACGCTGTTGTTGCCTAGCGACGCTGTTGTTGCCTAGTGACGCTGCTGTTGCCTAGCGATGCTGTTGTTGCCTCTCGTGATGCTGTTGTTGCCTAGCGACGCTGTTGTTGCCTAGCGATGCTGTTGTTGCCGAGTGATGCTGTTGTTGCCTCTAGTGACGCTGTTGTTGCCTCTAGTGACGCTGTTGTTGCCTAGCCACGCTGCCCCCACCCACTCACTCCACTTGCTGCCCTCACCCACTCACTCCACGCTGCCCCCTCCACTCTCTCCACTTGCTGCCCCCAGCGGGACGAGAGAAGGGTGTTGCACGCGACCCGACGCTCTTCGTGTGGGCGAGCGACTCGTCGTGCGGCCGGGCCTGCCCCCTGCTGCCCTTCTCGTCGGGCAGCAACGGCGGCAAGGAGGAGGGGGAGGACGCTGCCACCCACAGGCTGGAGGTGACCCCACATCGCTCGCAAGCAGAGTCGTCATTGACGTCTGTTGTTGTTGGTGGTGTTGTTGTTGATGTTGTTGTTGGTGTTGTTGTTGGTGGTGTTGGTGTTGTTGGTGTTTGTTGGTGTTGGTGTTGGTGTTGTTGGTGTTTTTGGTGTTTGTTGGTGTTGGTGTTGTTGGTGTTGTTGTTGTTGTTGTTGGTGTTGTTGGTGTTGTTGGTGTTGTGTTGTTGGTGTTGTTGGTGTTGTTATTGTTGCTGTTGGTGTTGTTGTTGTTGGTGTTGTTGGTGTTGGTGTTGTTGTTGTTGTTGGTGTTTCTGTTGCTGCTGCTGTTGTTGCTGTTGGTGTTGTTGGTGTTGTTGTTGTTGTTGCTGTTGTTGTTGTTGCTGTTGGTGTTGTTGCTGTTGTTGGTGGTGTTGTTGTTGTTGCTGTTGTTGGTGTTGTTGGTGTTGTTGTTGCTGTTGTTGTTGTTGCTGTTGTTGCTGTTGTTGTTGTTGCTGTTGGTGTTGCTGTTGGTATTGCTGTTGTTGTTGCTGTTGTTGTTGTTGCTGTTTTTGGTTGTTGCTGTTGTTTTTGTTATAGTTGTTGCTGTTGGTTTTCCTGTTGTTGTTGCTGTTGCAGTTATTGTAGTGAAGTTGGTGGTGGAGTGGGTGGAGTAGGCGGTGGTGTGGCTAGAGTTATCGAAGGTGGTGGGCAGGTCGCAATACAGCGTCCATAACAGCATTGAAACATTCACCCATGGCGTCACCTCTCTGCCTCGCTCTCCGCGTGTCTGCAGGTCGCTGCTGCTGCTGCCACCGCTGGCTGGGATGGATCTCTGGCCGGGATGGAGAACGGCAGCTACGTGGCGGACAAAGTGGGCCAAGGCGACCCCACGCCACTCCCGAGCAAGAGCACGCGCCTCTGACGCGCCTGTGACGTGGCCTGTGACGTAGCCTCTGACGTACTCTGTGACGTAGCCTCTGACGCGCCTCTGACGCGCCTGTGACGTAGTCTGTGACGTAGTCTGTGACGTAGTCTGTGACGTAGTCTGTGACGTGGCCTCTGACGCGCCTCTGACGCGCCTCTGACGCGCCTCTGACGCGCCTGTGACGTAGTCTGTGACGTAGCCTGTGACGTAGCCTCTGACGCGCCTCTGACGCGCCTCTGACGCGCCTGTGATGTAGCCTGTGACGTATTCTGTGACGTAGCCTGTGACGTGGCCTGTGACGCGCCGGGGGCCCAAGGGGGGTGCGGATTCGCCCATCGGATTTTTCAATTTTTGTGACATTCGCAAGACGTCGTGTTACCGCCGGTGACGGCGGTAATAAACCACCCATTGGAACGCCGCTGGATTTCCGTGGTTGATATGTCGCGATGGGGGGCGGTGGTGGGAGGCGGTAGGGGGGGGGTGGTGGGGGGGGCGGTGGTGTTGGGGGGGGCATGTGCCGAGCTGGCGTCATGCAGCAGCTTCCGCACCACGTGCGGCATCGTCGTCATTGTCGTCATCATCGTCATCGTCGTCGTCATCATCGTCGTCGTCATTATCCTCATCGTCGTCGTCATTATCGTCATCATCGTCATCGTCGTCGTCATCATCGTCATCGTCGTTGTCATCGTCGTCGTCATCGTCATCATTGTCGTCATCGTCATCATTGTCGTCGTCGTCATCGTCATCATCGTCGTCGTCGTCATCGTCGTGAAACTAGCTATCAAAAAAGCCAAAAATTACTTCGCAATTGGCCCGGATGGAATAGCTACATCCCATCTCAAACACCTCGGCCCGCTTGGCATGAAGTTTCTCGCCTCCACCATCAACGCCTCACTCCCAATGCAACCTCATTGCGGCCATCTTGAAATCATCGGCAATCATTCCACTTCCAAACCCGGCAAAAACCTCAATCAAGCAACGTCCTACAGGCCGATCTCCCTACTTTGCCCATCAATCAAGATTTTAGAGGCCCTCATTCTTCCAAACATCACCACCAACTTACTTCCATCATCTCAGCAACACGGCTTTCGCCCTGCACAATCAACAACAACAGCTCTGCTCAACCTAACCACCCAAATTGCAAACGGTTTCAATGAGAACAAGTATAACCCGTAAAAACAAAGTTTTTCACTATAAATCCTTTATATGCGTGGCGGCTAGAGTCCTCTCGTCCTCTGGCTTGAGATGGCTGCCACCTATGGGTCAGATGATTGTCTGCCAGTATTAAGCAATTGGTAATTAAATATTTAATTTTTTTCCCTAAACAGTATAACATTTTTGAAAGAATTTTTCACGAACATTAATTGTCTCGCACAACGAGTCTGTGTGGGAAATGTCAGCTCGATTGGATCACGGGAAGTGGGTTAAAAAACGACCGAAAGATTTGCACGGTCGTAAGCAAGCACGCAAGCACGCAAGCAAGCAAGAAAGCGAACTTAATATAAAGGATTTAAAAAGCCCCCATCTCGCACTATCGTCGCCTCCCTTGACCTTACAAAGGCTTTCGGGACCGTTAATCACCTCACGCTCCATTGGAACCTCATTTGCCAGAAGAAAAAATATGATAATTGTTTTTTTACCCTTTTATCTGGCAACAAAATTGACACCTTTTTTTTTTACAAGGAGTCATGTTTGCATAGACCACAATACCTGCAGTCATAATGCAAACAAAAAACACAACTCTGATAATGTATGCACCGTCCTTAAAGTTGATTGGTCCACACCCGAGACAGCTTTCCTTAGAGCCTAGTCTCACATGGTGTTGGACCAGATGACGCCAAAAGGCGCACAACTCAAAGACAATGCACCATCAGAGTATGAGAGCTCGGGGTAAGCATTTACACCATTGGAACCTCATTGGTTCATCAACATCATGGCTCATCAACATCATCCGTGGTTCTACGCTACCATCAGGCCTTGCTTGCTGGCTTACAAATTACCTAAGAGGCCGCCAAATCACGTGTTCTCTTCCATGATATGCAATCCTCCTAACGAAACATTTATGCAGGAGTAACCCACAAGGTTCCATAATATCCCCGGCGCTGTTCAACGCCTACCTCCACGATCTACCAACGCCTCCAAAAGGAGTACAAGTAGTCGGCTATGCCGACGACATCATAGTTTACACTTCTAATCAAAATACAGTAATCCCTCTCCACTTCACGGTTCAAGTTTCGCGGCCTCAGTGCATCGCGGATTTTTCGAACTGATTTAAAGGCCTCTTTATAGCTGTGCAGTAGCACTATCATCATCATCATCCATCATCACATTCATCGAACTGCACAGGTCTGTCGTCATCGTCATTGTCATCGTCGTCGTCGTCATTACTGGAGTCAAGTCTCAAGGTACTACTGTCATTGGTGAGTGTAGAACGCCACAATACGTATCGTATGAGAGAGAGAGAGTGAATGTATAATATTAAGGTTTTATAATTAAATAGATTTAAGTAAAAATTTTAAGGCCACTCCACAGAGACTATCTCCCTCTCTGTACCTGTGTTACTCTCTCTCTATGTATCTTGGTGATATCTGTCTGCTTATATGTCTGTATATAGTTTTTTCTGGTTAGAAATGTTTGTTGCTATTTCATTTATACCTGATGATGATTGCTTGTGTTGCAATCGAAACGTCGTGATTTTTATTTTATTTTACTTTTATTAATTTAAAATTTTTACCTACGTGACTTTACCGAAAAAAACCTAAGAATATATATATAAAGTATAAATATACATATTTTAAACATTCTGGTACCCACACACACACACATATACGGAAATTCCTAGGGGGCCAATCCTACTTCGCGGATTTTCACCTATCGTGAGGGGTTCCGGTCCCCTTTAACCGCGATAAACGAGGGATCACTGCATTCCCAAAATAGAAAACTCCATCAACTCCAAATTTAAAACGGCTCAGGAGTTTCCTAGACAATAGATCGCTTCAATTCTCAACATCCAAATCAACAGTCACCCTTTTCACACCTGATTCTCTTCAAGACAACTTACATCCCAACGTCATAATACAAAACCAACGCCTCCCGCTAGCAAAACCCTCCCTTAATTCTAGGTGTAACCTTTGACACCATATTCTTAATCTCAATTTTGGAGCTTTCGTGACTGCAGGAATTATTCTTTGGTTCTTTCGGTTAAGTCACGTCTAAAGAAACGTCGTAGTTTGCTATTATTTAATTTATTATTTTATCTTTTTACGTGACTTAACCGAAAGAACCAAAGAACCATATTCTTAGGTTTCTTCGGTAAAGTCACGTAGGTAAAAAAAATAAATTAATAATATTATTATATTATAATATTATTATATTTTTTTTATTTTACTTTTATTAATTTTAATGTTTTACCTACGTGACTTTACCGAAAAAAACCTAAGAATATGAATTCTTGCAGTCACGAAAGCTTCAAATCTAGAACTTTAACACCATTTTCAGCTTCGCTCAACACGGCAGAAACGTCCACGCAAAAAGTTAGCAAACGAAATAACATCTCGCGAGCTTTAGCGGGCAAATCTTGGGGTCAACAAAGGAGACTTTACTCCTAACCTACAAAGTCATTGGACGTCCCATCGTCAATTATGCCAGTCCCATTTGGGGTCTCAAACCTCTCCTCTGCATTCTAGATTTGAAGCTTTCGTGACTGCAATGATTCATATTCTTAGGTTTTTTTTTCGGTAAAGTCGTAGGTAAAAAAATACATTAAAATTTAAATTTATAAAAGTAAAATATTTTATTTTTTTATTTTACTTTTATTAACTTTTATTTATTTATTTTACCTACGTGACTTTACCGAAAGAACCAAGAAGATGAATCCCTGCAGTCACGAAAGCTTTAAATCGAAAGTGTTGGGGTCTATTTGCTTATTTGTTCGTTTGCTCCTGATGCAGAAGCCCACGGTCTAAACCATTATGCGCAAGTCACCGATCAGGGGTGGAAACTTTTATAGCGTGGGTTGGACAGGGCTGGCGACATATTCTTAGTCTCCTCTACAGGTTACCAAAAGCTCCAAGCCTCCCAAAACCAGGCACTTCGCCTAGCCACAGGATACCACCTCATGGCACCAATTGACCATTCTTCCGATTCAAGAACACCGCAAGCTTCTCACCGATCAATATCTGGCTTCATGCCACTCGACAACGCATCCTTGCACGAAGCTACTCAAAACCCCTGCACCTGCTAGGAAAATGAAATCCACCTCGCTTTACTTCAGCTCTGCCAATGTGCAATCTACGTTAAACGCTCTTGCACCAAATACCACCACCACATCAAAGTTGAACCACTTGCACACCGCTGCCACCATGCACTGCCTGAACGCCTACAGGCCCCCAATGTCGTGCTAGGGGGTTGGACTCCACCCATAGCAGACGACGAAAAATCCCTGACCCGGGCAACTCGCAACAAAACTGGCTCAACTCCGTTCAGGTTACTGCTGCTCCATGCGAACCGATTACCAAAATCGAATAGACCCAAACGTCCCAAACTCCTGCTGCCCTTTGTGCCAAGCAACGCCAGAAGACGTCTCTCCCATTTTCTCAGTCGCCCAAAACGCGGACCAAAATTTAAATCGATTGATCTCTTGATACAGATATTTTGCTGTGACCGTTTCACCTGAAGACAGAAGCTTGTGTTGCCTCCGAAACGTCGTGACTTTATTTTTTTTTTAATAAATTTTAATTTCATTTTCTACCTACGTGACTTTACCGAAAGAACTAAGAGTACGAATCCTTGCAGTCACGAAAGCTTCAAATCTAGGATTGATCTCTGGCTAAACCCTTTCAAAGTGGTGACATAACGCCATCTATAAACAAAAAGTGCGAGAAAAACAACAACAACAAATGAAAGTGACGGCAATGATGAAAATTGGCCAGTGCTGTCCAAACCAGATCGCCGACTCGACGAATTAACAACCCGCCAGGGCTGTGTGTGTGTGTGTTGTTGTTGTGTGTGTTGTGTGTGTATTGTGTGTGTGTTGTGTGTGTGTTGTGTGTGTGTTGTGTGTGTGTTGTTGAGTTTTGTGTGTGTGCTGTGTGTGTGTTGTGTATGTTGTGTGTGTGTTGTGTGTGTGTGTATTGTGTGTGTGTTGTGTGTTGTTGAGTGTGTTGTGTGTGTGTATTGTGTGTGTGCTGTGTGTGTGTTGTGTGTATGTTGTCTGTGTATATATGTTGTGTGTGTTCTGTGTGTGTTGTGTGTGTGTGTTGTGTATGTTGTGTGTACGTTGTGTGTGTGTTGTGTGTGTATATATGTTGTGTGTTGTGTGTGTGTTGTGTATGTTGTGTGTGTTGTGTGTGTGTGTTGTCTGTGTGTGTTGTGTGTGTGTTGTCTGTGTATGTTGTGTGTATGTTGTGTGTGTATGTTGTGTATGTTGTGTGTGTGTTGTGTGTGCTGTGTGTGTGTTGAGTGTGTATGTTGTGTATGTTGTGTGTATGCTGTGTGTGTTGTGTGTGTATGTTGTGTATGTTGTGTGTGTTGTGTGTGTATGTTGTGTGTGTGTGTTGTGTGTGTGTTGTGTGTGTATGTTGTGTGTGTTGTGTGTATGTTGTGTATGTTGTGTGTGTGTTGTGTATGTTGTGTGTGTGTTGTGTATGTTGTATATATGTTGTGTGTATGTTGTGTGTATGTTGTGTGTATGTTGTGTATGTTGTGTGTATGTTGTGTATGTTGTGTGTATGTTGTGTATGTTGTGTGTATGTTGTGTGTATGTTGTGTGTATGTTGTGTGTGTGTTGTGTATGTTGTGTGTATGTTGTGTGTGTTGTGTGTATGTTGTGTGTATGTTGTGTGTGTGTTGTATGTGAGACTGATAAACATTTCACGAAGATCTCAATTGCCGTGGCTGCCTGAACTTGGCGAGTTCCCTGATTTTTCTGCACCCGCCCCCCTACCAAACCCTAGAGCTGGGAGCGGTAAGGGGGGTGGAGGGGTAAGGAGGAGTGGCTGGGGGGGGGTGGATACGGTGGGAAAGGGGGGGCAAGGGGGGGCTGGGGGGGTAAGGGGGGGGGGCTGGGCGAGTAAGGGAGGGGGGCCTCGCTCTGCACGGCAAGCGCTGAACTTTGCCCTGATCACTGGGCACTCAACCATATCTGCTGGGTCCAGCTGTTAATCGACGCTCGTCTCAAAGGTCTCGTAATGATCAAACCGCCTGTACCTGTCCCTCAAGCCCCTCCTGTCAAGCTATCGGCCCAAGGGCCCACGGTGTGTGTGTGTGTGCGCGCGTGTGTGTGTGTGTGTGTCACGCACGCGTCTGTCTGGAGCTCATTATAAAGGGGCGCAGTTGACGAACAGCGGGTCCCCGATTACGAGCCGAGTCAAATGATGGGCAGACGAGCTGAGAAGGCGCCACGATTGGACCTTCTGAACTGCACTCTCTACAGAGTCTGAGCACAATTTCTCTCGGGGGACTCTCTTGATAGGACTCCATGTCACTGCTAGAACTGTCTCTCTCTCTCTCTCTGTCTTGACTGGATTCTGAGCGCAGACTCCAGCCACTCTCTGGACTTTATCTATTCCGATTGAACCTCTTTGATAGGTGTCGGACTGAACTCTCCAACAGATCTGCTCTCTCTCTAACTGAACTCTTGCAACCACGCGATTTCAATCACCAAAAAACCTTTGCACCAGATTCTCCAGCCGGACTCTCTAACCAGCCTCTCCAGTGGAACTCTTCACTCTTTCTCTAACTGGACTCTTGCGACCACGCGATTTCAATCACCGAAAATCCCTTGCACCAGATTCTCTAACCGGACTCTCTAACCAGCCTCTCCAGTGGAACTCTTCACTCTTTCTCTAACTGGACTCTTGCAAACCACTCGATTTAATTCACCAAAAATCCCTTGCACCAGATTCTCCAGCCGGACTCTCTAACCAGCTTCTCGAACCAACACCGCCGAACCAGCCTCTGCAAGCCGGACTCTCTAACCAGGCAGCTGCAGCATCATCACCAGCATCACCAGCAGCAGCAGCAATCGATTCCTTCCTCGCGAAACTCTCTCGACCCACCACCACCACCCATAACCAAACCCCCCTGCCGCGCCAGCGATGGGCGACTTCCAGACGGAGGTGCGTGGCTTCACCACGTGGGACTACGTGGTGTTCTCCAGCCTCTTCGTGGTCTCGTCGCTCATCGGCGTGTACCACGCCTTCGCCGGCCGCGGAGGCTCCTCGCAAGAGTTCCTGACGGGCGGGCGGCAGATGACCGCCGTGCCGGTGGCGCTGTCGCTCACCGCGAGCTTCATGTCGGCCGTGACGGTGATCGGCGCCCCCGCCGAGGTCTACCGCTACGGGGCGATGTTCACGCTCTTCTGCATCTCCTACACGCTGGTCATCGTCGCCTGCTCCGAGATCTACATCCCCGTCTTCTACCGCTCGGGCATCACCAGCACGTACGAGGTGACGTGTGGGAGGAGGGCGGAGAGGGGGGGGGGGTGCTGTAGTGGCGGGGGGGGGGGTGCTGTAGTGGCGGGGGGGGTGGGGTGGAAGCATGGTAGGAGGAGGTGGAGATGGTGGAGTAGAAGCAGCAGGAGGTGGAGATGGTGGAGTAGCAGCAGGAGGTGGTGGAGATGGTGGAGTAGTAGCAGGAGGTGGAGATGGTGGAGTAGAAGCAGCAGGAGGTAGAGATGGTGGAGTAGCAGTAGGAGGTGGAGATGGTGGAGCAGCAGGAATTAGAGATGGTGGAGTAGCAGCAGCAGGAGGTAGAGATGGTGGAGTAGCAGCAGCAGGAGGTAGAGATGGTGGAGTGGCAGCAGGAGGTGGAGATGGTGGAGTGGCAGCAGCAGGAGGTAGAGATGGTGGAGTAGCAGCAGCAGGAGGTAGAGATGGTGGAGTGGCAGCAGAAGGAGGTGGAGATGGTGGAGTAGAAGCAGCAGGAGGTGGAGATGGTGGAGTAGCAGCAGCAGGAGGTAGAGATGGTGGAGTAGCAGTAGCAGGAGGTAGAGATGGTGGAGTAGTAGCAGCAGGAGGGGGAGATGGTGGAGTAGCAGCAGGAGGAGGTAGAGATGGTGGAGTAGCAGCAGGAGGTGGAGATGGTGGAGTAGCAGCAGGAGGTGGAGATGGTGGAGTAGCAGCAGGAGGTAGAGATGGTGGAGTAGCAGCAGGAGGAGGTGGAGATGGTGGAGTAGCAGCAGCAGGAGGTGGAGATGGTGGAGTGGCAGCAGCAGGAGGTGGAGATGGTGGAGTAGTAGCAGCAGGAGGTGGAGATGGTGGAGTAGCAGCAGGAGGAGGTGGAGATGGTGGAGTGGCAGCAGCAGGAGGTGGAAATGGTGGAATAGCAGCAGCAGGAGGTAGAGATGGTGGAGTAGCAGCAGGAGGTAGAGATGGTGGAGTAGCAGCAGGAGGTGGAGATGGTGGAGTAGCAGCAGCAGGAGGTGGAGATGGTGGAATAGCAGCAGCAGGAGGTGGAGATGGTGGAGTAGCAGTAAGGGAGTCGAACGTGACTCGACAGCTCCCGATGTTGTAGCTGGTCATGGGACGAATTCATTTTTGTTTTTTAAACTGAGGTCTTTATAAAAAGAGAACGTTTTAACAATATATATAATTCTCATACTCTTTGGTTCTTTCAGTAAAGTCGTAAAATGTTGAAAGTTGAGTTTTTTAATATTTGTATTATTTTATTATTTCACTTCTACGTGACTTTACCGAAAGAACCAAAGAGTATTGATTCCTGCAGTCACGAAAGCTTCAAATCGAGAAAAAAAATTCCCGTCAGGCACCCGGACGGTGTTAAACAAAAAGGGCATCTCCGACTCTCACCATCCAATTTCGATGTAAAGCTTCTTTCGTGACTGCAGGGATTCATCTTCTTGGTTCTTTCGGTAAAGTCACGTAGAAGGGAAATAATAAAATAATAAAACATGATAAAATAATTCTCACGACGTTTCGGCCACAACGCAAGCAGCCGTCCTCAGGTGAAGAACAGGTCTGTCGGAAAGACAGCGTCCGATTCGAACGCTATCTTTATTTTATTATGTTTAATTTTTATTATTTTATTACTTCCCTTCTACGTGACTTTACCGAAAGAACCAAGAAGATCTCGCCATCCACTCCGCCTCCCCCAGCGGCTTTCTCTACCCGTGTGCCCTGCAAGAGGGTCCATCGACCGAAGCGTCGTCTATTTACACAAACACAAAGATCCCCCATACAGCCTTAACAGACTGTAGGGGCAAGTGCTGTTAGCGAGCACCTATGAAGGCCGGAACGGCACACGAGGGGGTGGGTGGCCAACACCACGCCCGGCCGCCTTTGTCTCCCCAGTGGCGATGTTTACACACCGCACCAGGTGCTCATTTGAGGCTGAGTCGACCTAGGGGAGGCCCAGGACCGGTTTAGATAATCGTCACTGGTGTTGGCCGTGAGCGGGAATCGAACCCGTGTCGCCAGGTTCATAGCGCAGCGCGCTAACCGCTACACCACCGCTCCCCACAACACACACGCACACACACATAATCACACACAATCACACACATGCACAACCACACACACACACTCTCACATACACAATAACGCACACAATCACACACACAAATCACACACAATCACAAACACACACAATCACACACGTGCACAACCATACACACACAATCACACAAAAACAATAACTCGGACGCACAATCACACACACAACCACACAATCACACCACACACACACACCACACACACAACCACACATACAACTACACACACAACCACACACACACAATCACTTATACAGACAATCACACACACACCACACACACAAACACACACACAGACAACCACACACAATCACACACACAATCACTCACACACACAATCACACACACAATCACACACACAATCACACACACAATCACACACACACACAATCACACACACAACCACACACACAATCACACACACAATCACTCACACACACAATCACTCACACACACACACACACAATAACACACACACAGAATCACTCACACACACAATCACACACACAATCACACACACAACCACGCACACACACACAATCACACACACACAATCACTCACACACAATCACACACACAACCACGCACACACACACAATCACACACACGCAATCACTCACACACAATCACACACACAATCACTCACACAGACAATCACACACAATCACACAATCACACACACACAATCACACACACACAATCACACAGACAATAACACACACACGCACACACAATCACACACAACCACACACAATCACACGCACACACACGCACACACACACACACACAATCACACACACACACACAATCACACACACAACCACACACACAATCACACACACAATCACTCACACACACACAATCACTCACACACACAATCACACACACACAATCACACACACAATCACACACACAACCACACACAATCACACACACACACAATCACACACACAACCACACACACAATCACTCACACACACAATCACTCACACTCACACAATCACTCACACACACAATCACTCACACAGACAACCACACACAATCACACAATCACACACAATCACACACAACCACACACACAATCACACACACACACGCACAATCACACACACAATCACACACACACAATCACACACAATCACACACACAACCACACACACAATCACACACAACCACACACAATCACACACACACAATCACACACAATCACACACAACCACTCACACACACAACCACACACACAATCACACACAATCACACACACAACCACACACACAATCACACACAATCACACACAATCACACACACACACAATCACACACAATCACACACACACACAATCACACACACACACACAATCACACACACACACACAATCACACACACACACACAATCACACACACAATCACACACACACACACACGCACACACACAACCACTCACAAAACCACACACAATCACACACAACCACTCACACACACACAATCACACACACACACGCACACGCACACACACACGCACACACACACGCACACGCACACACACACGCACACACACACGCACACACACGCACACACGCACACACACCTTCCTAGCGAGACCACGTGCACTCGTTTTTCGACGCGCGAGTTCCTTTGTGACGTCACGGCGCGTCACCCTCGCTTCTCTCCTTCGTCTCCGGCAGTACCTGGAGCTTCGCTTCAACCGCGTGGTCCGGCTCATTGGCACGGGCGTCTACATCGTCCAGACGGTGAGACACGTGACCACACGAACCACGTGGGTCACGGCGAACCACGTGGGTCACGGTGAACCACGTGGGTCACCCACCATCTCATCCACCCACTCATTCACTCACCCACCATCTCACCCACTGATTAGTGAACTCACCCACTCATTCACTCACCCACCATCTCACCCACTAATTCGTGCACTCACTAACTCATTCACCCACCCACCATCTCACTCGCCCACACGTTCACTCACCCACTCATTCACTCACCCACCATCTCACCCACTGATTCGTGCACTCACTAACTCGTTAACTCACCCACCATCTCACTCGCCCACTCGTTCACTCACCCACTCCTTCACTCACCCACCATCTCACCCACTGATTAGTGAACTCACTAACTCATTCATTCACCCACTATCTCACTCGCCCACTCGTTCACTCACCCACTCATTCACTCACCCACCATCTCACCCACTGATTCGTGCACTCACTAACTCGTTAACTCACCTACCATCGCACCCACCTACCCACGCATGCGTCCACTCACAAACTGACTGATCCACTCATTCACTCACTCACCCACCACCTCAGCCACCCACTCATTCACTCACCCACTCATTCACTCACCTACCATCTCACCCACCTACCCACTCATGCGTCCACTCACAAACTGACTGATCCACTCATTCACTCACTCACCCACCACCTCAGCCACCCACTCATTCACTCACCCACTCATTCACTCACCCACCATCTCACCCATCCACCCACCCACTCATGCGTCCACTCACAAACTGACTGACCCACTCATTCACTCACCCACCATCTCACCCACTAATTTGTGAACTCACCCACTCATTCACTCACCCACCACCTCACTCACTCACTCGTTCACTCACCCACTCATTCACTCACCCACCGTCTCACTCACCCACTCATTCACTCACCCACCATCTCACCTACTGATTCGTGCACTCACCCACTCACTCATTAACTCACCCACCATCTGATCCACCCACTCATTCACTCACCCACTCATTCACTCACCTCACCATCTCACTCGCCCACTCGTTCACTCACCCACTCCTTCACTCACCCACCATCTCACCCACTGATTAGTGAACTCACTAACTCATTCATTCACCCACTATCTCACTCGCCCACTCGTTCACTCACCCACTCCTTCACTCACCCACCATCTCACCCACTGATTAGTGAACTCACTAACTCATTCATTCACCCACTATCTCACTCGCCCACTCGTTCACTCACCCACTCCTTCACTCACCCACCATCTTACCCACTGATTCGTGCACTCACTAACTCGTTAACTCACCTACCATCGCACCCACCTACCCACTCATGCGTCCACTCACAAACTGACTGATCCACTCATTCACTCACTCACCCACCACCTCAGCCACCCACTCATTCACTCACCCACTCATTCACTCACCCACCATCTCACCCATCCACCCACCCACTCATGCGTCCACTCACAAACTGACTGACCCACTCATTCACTCACCCACCATCTCATCCACCCACTCATTCACTCACCCACTCATTCACTCACCCACCATCTCACCCACTAATTTGTGAACTCACCCACTCATTCACTCACCCACCACCTCACTCACTCACTCGTTCACTCACCCACTCATTCACTCACCCACCGTCTCACTCACCCACTCATTCACTCACCCACCATCTCACCTACTGATTCGTGCACTCACCCACTCACTCATTAACTCACCCACCATCTGATCCACCCACTCATTCACTCACCCACTCATTCACTCACCTCACCATCTCACCCACTGATTCGTGCACTCACCCACTCATTCAATCACCCACCATCTCACTCGCCCACTCGTTCACTCACCCACTCATTCACTCACCCACTCATTCACTCACCTCACCATCTCACCCACTGATTCGTGCACTCACCCACTCATTCAATCACCCACCATCTCACTCGCCCACTCGTTCACTCACCCACTCATTTACTCACCCACTCATTCACTCACCCACGCATTCACTCACCCACTCATTCACTCACCCACTCATTTACTCACCCACTCATTCACTCACCCACTCATTCACTCACCCACCATTTCACCCACTAATTCGTGCACTCACTAACTCATTCACCCACCCACCATCTCACTCGCCCACTCGTTCACTCACCCACTCCTTCACTCACCCACCATCTCACCCACTGATTCGTGCACTCACCCACTCATTCACTCACCCACTCATTCACTCGCCCACACGTTCACTCCCCCACGCCATCAAAAGGAGTCTCATTCTGCGCTCTTGATTTCTCACCCCCGCCTAAACAAAGTGCACGTGAGAATCACTCTGCTTGGCAACCCCGGATTGATGGTGGGGTGGCTGAAACCCGGATTTGAATGTAACCTCACCAACATCTCGTTGATTCCAATCTGACACCAATGGCAGAGTTGCTCTTGATGATGATGATGCTGATACTGCTACTCACGATTATTCTGCTGATGATGGTGGCATTACCATTGGTGATGTTGCTGCTTAGCATGATTCAACTGGTGGTGGTGTTGCTGCTGCTGATGATGCTAATGATGATGGAACACCTGCTGGTGCTGCTGCTGGTGCTGCTGATGATGATGATTGATGATGATGATTGATGATCATTGATGATCATTGATGATGATGATGATCATTGATGATTGATGATGATTGATGATGATGGAACACTTGCTGGTACTGCTGATGATGCTGATGATCATGATTGATGATGATTAATGATGATTGATGATGATGGTGCTGATGATGATGATGGTGGAACACCTGCTGGTGCTACTGCTGATGATGCTGATGACGATGGAACACCTGCTGGTGCTGCTGCTGGTGCTGCTGATGATGATTGATGATGATTGATGATGATGGTGCTGATGATGATGATGGAACACCTGCTGGTGCTGCTGCTGGTGCTGCTGATGATGATGATGATTGATGATGATTGATGATGATGGAACACTTGCTGGTACTGCTGATGATCATGATTGATCATGATTGATCATTATTGATCATGATTGATGATGATTGATCATGATTGATGATTATTAATGATGATGATGGTGCTGATGATGATGATGGAACACCTGCTAGTGCTGCTGATGATGATGCTGATCACGACTAACGCTTCTCCCAAACCCTCACAGATCCTCTACACGGGAATTGTCATCTACGCTCCATCACTCGCCCTCAACCAAGGTGAGCATCTTCGTCACCCCCCACACCCCCCCACCCCCCCACGCCCCCCACACCCCCCACACCCTCCCGGTGGTGCCACGTTTGTAATCGTTCCGTCGGATGAGTTTCGCAAACTTAAGGGGGGGAGGGTAGCGTGCTGTAGAAACTGTAAATGCGAGTATTGAAGTAAGATATAAAAGCAATTAATATTTCACCTGGTTAATAACATCCTTCCAATGATTGATCAATTTGAATCATCCATCTTCTCGATTGAAGTTATGTCTATTTTTCGATTTAAAGCTTTCGTGACTGCAGGGATTCATCTTCTTGGTTCTTTCGGTAAAGTCACGTAGAAGGGAAGTAAAAAAAATAATAAACAAAACATAATATATTATTTTATTATGTTTTGTTTTTTATTAGTTTACTACTTCCCTTCTACGTGACTTTACCGAAAGAACCAAGAAGAAGTTATGTCTATGTTTAGATATCTGGATGGCTTCGTGGACAAATCTTTGGGTGGTATCCAGACGGCTTGCAGAGCACTTTGGTATCGGTGAAAACAATATCACGAAAGCCCGCCCGCGTTGTAGCAGTGGTCAAATCAAGAATGGTGGTGAACTTTGTTTTTGCCCTCTGCAGTGACGGGTTTCACATTGTGGGGGTCCGTGGCAGCCACGGGCGTTGTCTGCACCTTCTATTGCACCCTGGTGAGTCCTCGCACGCGTTGGTCTGCAATCTTCTGCTGCACAAAGATCTCGGTTTTTAAAAAGAAAATCAATTCCCTCTGGCACGTCAAAATGTGGAAAGCTGTCCCATCTCTCTCCTTGTCATCCATTCTCGACCCGAGTTCGATTCGCGCTCACGGCCGACACCAATGACGATTATCTGAACCGGTACCTTGGCCTCACACCTAGGTGGACTCGGCCTCAAATGAGTATCTGGTGCTGTTTGAAAAAACATCGCCCACTGGGAAGACAAAGGCGGTCGGGCGTGGTGCTGGTCACCCACCCCCCCCCCCCCACTTCCTCGTGTGCCGTTCTGCCATTCATAGGTGCGACTCGCTAACAGCACTTGCCCCAACAGTCTGTTCAAGGCTATACGGGGGATCTTTGTATTTAGTGTGCACGCGTGTGCGTCGCAGCGCGATGTACCGGACCCACTAATTGCCTCCGTAAAATAATGTAAATAACATTATCATTTTTTTTTATTGTTGTTGTTGTTGTAAAAATTACGCACCCAGTGAACGAGAAGCAATGTCCTTGAACGCGCGTGTGAGCAGCAAGTTGTTGTTGTTGTTGTTTACGCGTTGCCATACAGCACTTGCCCCCCAACAGTCTCTTGAGGCTACACGGGGACCCTTTGCCTTTTGTGTTCAAGTTCAAGGTACAGAGCCCTGTGAGCCATTCGGCTCTTGAATCGGGTGCAACCGCAACAAACAAAAAACAAAAACATGAACAAAAAACATCTTAAAGTGAATATGTGCAAACAGAAAATCCAAGAAAAGACAGCAAAATATTGCAGAAAAAACACCGTACACCAACGCTGTGTGCAAAAATCCCAGTGGGATGCAAGTCAAACAACAACAACAACCACAAGACAACTTAGATTAAAGCCATCATTCTAACTCCGTACTACAACAACACAAACATGGCCAAACCAATACACTTTTCGAAAATCACCAAAATAAAGCCATGAAAGCAATGACACAGTGATCATAGGAACTGTGACGGAATTTTCACAATAAATGGCATAAACAACATGTACTACCAAAACCCTGCAGCCATAGCTGGCTGCATGAGTCACTCCACAACAGCAGAAGCATCAATCGGAGTGTGCGTGCGTGCGTGCGTCTGGGGAGCGGTGGTGGAGCGGTTAGCGCTACGCCGCGCTACGAACCCGGCCGGGTCGACTTATGTGCAAATGAAGGTGCGGTGTGTAAAACAGAGGTCGCAACCGGGTACCCGATACCCGTACCCTACCCGATACCCGGTACCCGTTTGCGACCCTGGTGCGGCCGGGTACGGGTACGGGTAGGCCGTAGGTCACTGGTGAGTCACCATTTGTCACTCATTTCGGGTAGGGTACGGGTACGGGTAGGGAACGGGTAACCATTTGCGACCCTGGTGCAGCCGGGTACGGGTACGGGTAGGCCGTGAGTCACTGGTGAGTCACCGTTTGTCACTCATTTCGGGTAGGGTACGGGTACGGGTAGGGAACGGGTAACCATTTGCGACCCTGGTGCGGCCGGGTACGGGTACGGGTAGGCCGTGAGTCACTGGTGAGTCACCGTTTGTCACTCATTTCGGGTAGGGTACGGGTACGGGTAGGGAACGGGTGCCCATTTGCGACCCTGGCGCGGCCGGGTACGGGTAAGGAATCAAACCCCGTTTGCGACCTCTGGTGTAAAATCATCGCCGCCAGGGAGACAAAGGCGGCACCGGGGCGTGGGTGTTGACCTCCCAATCAACCTCGTGTACCTGATGGGCCGGCCTTCGTAGATGCAACTCGCCAAAACGTCACTTGCCATCCAAGGCTACACGGGAGATGTGTGTCTATGAATTTTTGGTTCTGTCGGTAAAGTCGCGTAGATAAGAAAAGAAAAATTTTATTAAATTAAAAATATATTAAAATTTAAAATGAAAGCTAAAAAGCCACCACGTTTCGATCGCAACACAAGAGGTCTTCATCAGGCGTAGAGAAAAAAAAAACAAGAATATTAATTCCTGCAGTCACGAAAGTTTACAATCAAGAATCTGTGACAGTGTAACACGCAGGCTTTCGCGACCAATATTATTCATAATCAACGTTTTTTTGGGTGTTAAATCGCGTTATTTATAAATTTGTCGTAACCCTCCACCACCCGACACGGCCAATCAGTAAAAAAGTGCCACGTTGACAAAAGACAAAATAGTTCACTGCTTTAGCCCACCGGTGTGTTGAAGCGTGAAACCACAACATTTACAATTTGAGTTGTACGACGTTTCGCTGGTAATTGCATCCAGCATCATCGGGAAATTCGCCAGAATGTTGTTGTAAAAATTCTGGCGAATTGCCCGATGATGCTGGATGCAATTACCAGCGAAACGTCGTACTACTCAAAAAATCGTAAATGTTGTGGTTTCACGTTTCAACACACCGGTGGGCTAAAGCAGTGAACTATTTGTCTTTTAGATTTAAAGCTTTCGTGACTGCAGGGATTCATCTTCTTTGTTCTTTCGGTAAAGTTTCTACGTGACTTTACCGAAAGAACCAATAAGATATTTGTCTTTTGTCAACGTGACACCTTTTTTACTGATTGGCCGTGTCGGGTGGTGGAGGGTTACGACACATTTATAAATAACGCGATCTAAATTCAAAAAAACGTTGATTATGAAGACTCTGTGTCTATGTCGTGTGCGTGTCCGTGCGATTCCCTAGGGTGGTCTCAAGGCCGTGGTGTGGTCAGACGTCTTCCAGATGGTCGTGATGGTGGGGGGGTTCCTGATGGTCATCATTCAGGGCTCCCTCGTGAGCGGTGGTCTCGACGGAGTGTGGCGGGTGGCGGAGGAAGGAGGTCGCATGCACATCTGGGAGTGAGTGGAATCCACTACCATCATCACCACCACCACCACTACCATCATCACCACCATCATGATCATCTCCATCATCATCTCCATCATCATCACCACCATCATGATCATCTCCATCATCACCACCACCACCACCATCTCCATCATCACCACCACCACCACCACCATCTCCATCATCACCACCACCATCATCACCACCATCATCATCATCACCACCACCACCATCTCCATCATCACCACCATCATGATCATCTCCATCATAACCACCACCATCTCCATCACCACCACCACCACCATCTCCATCATCACCACCACCACCACTACCATCATCACCACCACCACCATGATCATCTCCATCACCACCACCATCATCTCTATCATCACCACCACCATCATCATCTCCATCACCACCACCATCTCCATCATCACCACCACAGTTCTAGATTTGTGACGGTCCCACCTGAAGACGGAGACTTGTGTTGCCTCCGAAACGTCGTGATTTAATTGATTTATTTTCATTTTTTATTATTTTCTTCTATTATTTTTCACCCACGTGACTTTACCGAAAAACACCTAAGGGTATGCGCCTACAGTGTTTAAAGGCTATACGGGGGTCTTTATCTTTGTGTGTTTGTGTCTGTGTGTTTGTGTGTGTGTGTGTGTGTCTGTGTGTGTCTGTGTGTGTGTGTGTCTGTGTGTATGTGTGTGTGTGTCTGTGTGTGTGTGTCTGTGTGTGTGTGTGTCTCTGTGTGTATGTGTATGTGTGTGTCTGTGTGTGTGTCTGTGTGTGTGTGTGTCTGTGTGTGTGTCTATGTGTGTATGTGTATGTGTGTGTCTGTGTGTGTGTGTCTGTGTGTATGTGTGTGTTTGTCTGTGTGTGTGTCTATGTGTGTGTGTGTGTGTCTCTGTGTGTATGTGTGTGTGTCTGTGTGTGTGTGTCTGTGTGTGTGTCTCTGTGTGTATGTGTGTGTCTGTGTGTGTGTGTGTCTGTGTGTGTGTGTGTCTTTGTGTGTGTCTGTGTGTGTGTGTCTGTGTGTGTGTGTGTCTTTGTGTGTGTATGTGTGTGTTTGTCTGTGTGTGTGTCTATGTGTGTGTGTGTGTGTCTCTGTGTGTATGTGTGTGTGTCTGTGTGTGTGTGTCTGTGTGTGTGTCTCTGTGTGTATGTGTGTGTCTGTGTGTGTGTGTGTCTGTGTGTGTGTGTGTCTTTGTGTGTGTGTGTGTACATCTGCAGCTTCAGCCCGGACCCGCTGCGCCGCCACACGTTCTGGACGTTTCTGGTGGGTGGCACCTGCACGTGGCTCGGGATCTACGGAGTGAACCAGTCCACCGTGCAGCGCTGCATCTCCTGCCGCACCGAGAAGCACGCCAAGGGGTGACGCCCCCACCACCACCAACAACACCACCACCAACACCCCATCATCCCATCATCCCACACCACCACCACACCACCACCACCAACACCACCACACCACCACCACACCACCACCACCAACACCATCATCAATACCACCCCCACCACCAACACCACCACCAACAACACCAACATCATCCCATCATCTCACACCACCACCACACCACCACCAACACCATCATCACTACCACCCCCACCACCAACACCACCACCAACACCCCACAACCACCACCCACCCCCACCACCACTACCCCCACCACCACCACCCCCCCCACAATCACCACCGACCCCCCCAAAACCACCCCATCATCCCACACCGCCCCCCCCCCCCCACCACCGCCAACACCACCCCACGACCCCCACCACCACCACCACCCCACAACCACCACCCACCCCCCCAACACCACTCCACCATCCCCCACCGCCCCCCCCACCGCCCCCCCCCCTCCGCCCCCCCACCACCCCCCACCGCCCCCCCCACCGCCCCCCCCACCACCCCCCACCTCCCTCCTCGCGCGCCATGCCAGCCTCCATCGGGTGCCCGCTAACTGCACGTGGTGGTGGTGGTGTTGGTGGTGTTGGTGGCGGCGTGATGGTGGTGATGGTGGTGATGGTGGTGATGGTGATGGTGGTGATGGTGGTGATGGTGGTGGTGTTGGTGGTGGCGGTGGCGGCGTGATGGTGGTGGTGATGGTGGTGGTGTTGGTGGGGGTGGTGTTGGTGTTGGTGGTGGTGGTGATGGTGGTGGTGTTGGTGGGGGTGGTGTTGGTGTTGGTGGTGATGGTGATGGTGGTGGTGTTGGTGGGGGTGGTGTTGGTGATGGTGGTGGTGGTGTTGGTGGTGGTGTTGGTGGTGGTGGTGACGGTGATGGTGGTGGTGATGGTGGTGGTGTTGGTGATGGTGGTGGTGGTGATGGTGGGGGTGGTAGTGGAGGTGGTGGTGGTGGTGTTGGTGTTGGTGGTGACGGTGATGGTGGTGGTGATGGTGGTGGTGTTGGTGTTGGTGGTGGTGGTGATGGTGGGGGTGGTAGTGGAGGTGGTGGTGGTGGTGTTGGTGTTGGTGATGGTGGTGGTGGTGATGGTGTTGGTGGTGGTGGTGGTGGGGGTGGTGTTGGTGTTGGTGATGGTGGTGACGGTGGCGGTGATGGTGGTGGTGGCGGTGTTGGTGATGATGACGGTGGCGGTGGGTTTGTGCCCGTGCAGAGCGCTCTACCTGAACCTCATCGGCCTGTGGATCGTGGCTCTGTGCGCCGCGCTCTGCGGGCTGCTCATGTACTCGCGCTACGCCACCTGCGACCCCTGGAGCGCCGGGTTCGTCAACGCCCCGGACCAGGTGACAAGCGTCCAGACACCTTCCTTGTTGAACCCTGACCCCCAGTCGCTCCTTGTTGAACCCTGACCCCCAGTCCCTCCTTACTGAACCCTGACCCCCCAGTCCCTCCTTACTGAACCCTGACCCCCAGTTCCTCCTTGTTGAACTCTGACCCCCAGCCCTTCCTGACTGAACCCTGACCACCAGTCTCTCCCTAATGAACCCTGACCCCCAGTCCCTCCTTACTGAACCCTGACCCCCAGTCCCTCCCTAATGAACCCTGACCTCCAGTCCCTCCATACTGAACCCTGACCCCCAGCCTCTCCTTGTTGAACCCTGACCCCCAACCCCTCCTTGCTGAACCCTGACCCGCAGTCCCTCCTTGCTGAACCCTGACCCCCAGCCTCTCCTTACTGAACCCTGACCCCCAGCCACTCCTTGCTGAACCCTGACCCCCCCAGTCCCTGCTTGATGAACCCTGACCCCCAGTCCCTGCTTGATGAACCTTGACCCCCAGCCCCTCCTTACTGAACCCTGACCCCCAGTCCCACCCTAATGAACCCTGACCCCCAGTTCTTCCTTACTGAATCCTGATCCCCAGTCCCTCCTTGCTGAACCCTGACCCCCAGCCCCTCCTTGCTGAACCCTGACCCCCATCCCCTCCTTGCTGAACCCTGACCCCCAGCCCCTCCTTGCTGAATCTGACCCCCAGCCCCTCCTTGTTGAACCTTGACCCCCAAACTTGCGTGTTATAACAGTTTTCTTTGCACCGTTCTTAGAACGAGAATGTTTGGAGAAACGATGGCGCAGGTTCTGCCGCCGATAAAATGACTATGATGATGATGGCAATGTTGATGATGACGATGACGACGATGATGACGAGGATGATGACGACAAATACTATGATGATAACGACGGTGACGACGACGATGATGACGACGACGATGACGACGATGACGAGGACGACTACAATGATGACAACGACGATGGCGATCACGACAATGATGACGACGACGATGATGACGACGATGACGACGATGATGATGACGACGACGACGACGACGACGATGACTACAATGATGACAACGACGATTGCGATGACGACGATGACGACAACGACGATGACGATGACGATGACGACGACGATTGCGATGACTACAATGATGACAACGACGATTGCGATGACGACAATGATGAGGATGATGACGATGATGATGGTGATGATGACGACAATGATGACGACAATGACAATGATGACGATGATGGTGATGATGACGACAATGATGACGATGATGACGATGATGATGATGATGACGACAATGATGACGACGATGACAATGATGACGATGATGGTGATGATGACGACAATGATGACGATGATGACGATGATGATGATGATGACGACAATGATGACGACAATGACAATGATGACGATGATGGTGATGATGACGACAATGATGACGATGATGACGATGATGATGATGATGACGACAATGATGACGACAATGACAATGATGACGATGATGATGATGACGACGACAATGATGACGACAATGACAATGATGACGATGATGGTGATGATGACGACAATGATGACGACAATGCCAATGATGACGATGATGGTGCTCCCCTAGCTCATGCCCTACTACGTCCTGGACATCCTTGGGGACTACCCGGGTCTGCCCGGGGTCTTCGTGTCATGCGCCTTCAGCGGGACCCTGAGGTGCCAACCCTCCCACCCTCCCGCACAACGAGTTGCTTCTGGCTGCTGCAGCGCCTTACTATTAAAAATTCCTTCCCTTTATTGCTGCTACTTCCTCCCTTTGTTGCTGCTAATCCTACATAATGCACGGGCATAATATGACTTTGAGACCCCCCCCCCCCCCCCCCCACCACCTCCTATGCACTCCACAAGTAGTACTAATCGCATATCTGCATTTTCCATAAATATGCTAAATCCCTCTTGATATGCAAATGCCTTTGTCAAGGCGCCCTTCCCCCTCTAACCCAGCTTAAATATACGCTGCCAAGCATGGTGGTGCTCATTCAGACGCTGTCTTTCTGACAGACCTGTTCTTCACCTAAGGACGGCTGCTTGCGTTGTGGCCGAAAGGTCGTGAGAATTGTATTTTATCACGTTTATTTTTTACTATTTTACTATTTCCCTTCTACGTGACTTTACCGAAAGAACCAAGAAGATGAATCTTTGTCTTTGTCTCCCCCGGCCCCCCCTCCTTCTACCCCGCAGCACCGTGGCCTCGAGCATCAACGGGCTGGCGGCCGTGACCTACGAGGACATCGTCAACCCAACCTTCGGGCCCTTTCCCGGCAAGCGTGGAGCCCTCCTCACCAAGGGCCTCAGTGAGTGAGCGCGAGCCAGAGGTCGCAAATGGGTTTTGATTCCTTACCCGTACCCGGCCGCACCAGGGTCGCAAACGGGTAGAATCAACCCACCCGCGCCTGCAACATGGCTTCATCCCAGAGGTCGCAATCGGGTACCCGATACCCGGCTACCCGTACCCGGCCAGGTATCGGGTAGGGTACGGGTATCGGGTACCCGATTGCGACCTCTGGGATGAAGTCATGTTGCAGGCGCGGGTGGGTTGATTCTAGGAACTTGAATTGTGAGAAGAGACAAGACGTTGGGAAATGAGTGACAAACGGTGACTCACCAGTGACTCACGGCCTACCCATACCCGGCCGCACCAGGGTCGCAAACGGGTACCCGTACCCGGCAGGGTACGGGTAGCCGGGTAGCGGGTAGGGTACGGGTATCGGGTACCCGATTGCGACCTCTGGCACGAGCCCCAGCGTGGACCATGGGTGGAAAAAACCCGATTTGTCCAGCGGCAGGCATCGGGTTCTTTCTTTAATACAATTAAACCCGATTTCGGGGAATTAAAACCTGGTTTAATGAATAGGAAACTCTGATATGCTTAGGCTTCCTCGTCGGTGCTGCTATCGTACTCGGGGGGGCCGTCGTGCACGGGGTAGTCGTAGAATGCGGCGGGCAGGTTGGTCTTGATGAACACGAGTTTCTCCTCCACAATCGTGGGCGCCAGTGAGTTCCTTCGCTTGGAATGGATGAAGCCCATCATCGTTGAGAAGTTGGCGAAGTGCGGTTCTGCAATTAGAACCAATTAAACCGGATTTCTCCCAATCTCAGATGATCGGGTTTAATATAAAAAATTAACCCGTAAAAACAAAGTTTTTCACTTTAAATCCTTTATACGCGTGGCGGCTAGAGTCCTCTCGTCCTCTGGCTTGAGATGGCTGCCACCTATGGGTCAGATGATTGTCTGCCAGCATTAAGCAATTGGTAATAAAATATTTAATAGTTTTTTCCCTAAACAGTGTAAAATTTTGGAAACAAATTTTCACGAAAATGAATTGTCACGCACAACGAGTCTGTGTGGGAAATGTCAGCTCGATTGGATCACGGGAAGTGGGTTAAAAAACGACCGAAAGATTTGCACGGTCCTAAGCAAGCAAGCGAACTTAATATAAAGTATTTAAAAATACAATTAAACCCGATTGTAAAAAAAAAACGACTGTGCCAACCTTGGCGTGGACCCCCCCCTCCCTCCCGTGGCGTCGACGGCCGTGACCTCCTGCTGCGTGCCATTCGCCTTCAATGCCCCCCACGCCCTGCCCGCCCCCCTCTCTTCATATCGCAGTCGGCACCGGCACCGCCAAAGGACGCCGCCACCGGCAGCAACCGCGTGTCTTTGCCAGTTATGCCCAATACAACAACGACAACAACAACCGCCATTCGCCACTAGGCGGCGGTGACATCACCACGACGCTTGTGCCAGGCCATGTGCACCTTGAGGCTACCACGTGAAGTGTCGAACGCCCGCTGGCAGGAGGAGGTCACGGGGCAGACCCAGCAGGTGCCACGGGTCGACTGACCGAGATGACCGAGATGACTGGCTGATGCACCACCTGTGACCCCTACTGTGCCAACTTGCTGTGTTTTAGCCACCCGGCGCTCTGCTCGTTGTTGTGAGCGTCGCTCCTCCGCCCTCCGTTGTTGTTGGAGGGCGACTGCCTCCAACTGCCCAGTAGCGTCCTTCACGAGCCTCCTCCACTGAGGCCGATCTTAACACCGCTGGTACCAGTCATCGGCAAGTCCACTCAGCTCCACGTCCTCCTGTACCACATCACTCCATCTCTTCTCTACCATGTGCCGCGCCCGTTTAGCCCCCTCGATCCGGCCGAACAAAAGCTGTTTCGGCATGCGGTGGCTGGGCATGCGGGCTACATGACCCAGCCAACGCAGCCTTGCCTGCCGGAGGAGCTCACCGATGGGACTTTGCCCAAATCTTTCAAGGATTTGTGAGCTCCTCACACAATCCAGCCTGGTTAAACCCAGGATGGATCGTAGGCAGGCCAGCCTAAATGTTTCCAACCTGCGAAGATGCTCCATTAGGGGGGTCCACGTTTCGCAGTCACTCACACACACACTCACTCACACACACACTCACACACACACTCACTCACACACTCACTCACACACTCACTCACACACTCACTCACACACTCACTCACACACTCACTCACTCACTCACACACTCACTCACTCACACACTCACTCACTCACACACTCACTCTCACACTCACTCACTCACACACTCACTCACTCACACACTCACTCACTCACACACTCACTCACTCACTCACACACTCACTCACACACTCACTCACTCACACACTCACTCACACACACACACTCACACACTCACTCACTCACTCACACACTCATACACTCACTCACTCACTCACACACTCACTCATACTCACTCACTCACACGCACGCGCACGCTGGCCACGTATAAATGGTACCCGCCACCACGACTGACGATGTTTGTCGATGTTCGTGAGGATGACGGTCCATGGTGTTTATTCACCCGATGATGATGATGCCGATGATGATCATGGCAGTGATGACGTCAATGACGATTGCAGTCACAACAGTTGTGATGATGATGATGACGATGATGATCATGGCAGTGATGACGTCAATGACGATGGCAGTCACAACAGTTGTGATGATGATGATGACGATCATGGCAGTGATGACGTCAATGACGATGGCAGTCACAACAGTTGTGATGATGATGATGACGATGATGATCATGGCAGAGATGACGTCAATGACGATGGCAGTCACAACAGTTGTGATGATGATGACGATGATGATGATCATGGCAGTGATGACGTCAATGACGATGGCAGTCACAACAGTTGTGATGATGATGATGACGATGATGATCATGGCAGTGATGACGTCAATGACGATGGCAGTCACAACAGTTGTGATGATGATGATGACGATGATGATCATGGCAGTGATGACGTCAATGACGATGACAGTCACAACAGTTGTGATGATGATGACGATGATGATGATCATGGCAGTGATGACGTCAATGACGATGGCAGTCACAACAGTTGTGATGATGATGATGATGACGATGATGATCATGGCAGTGATGACGTCAATGACGATGGCAGTCACAACAGTTGTGATGATGATGACGATGATGATGATCATGGCAGTGATGACGTCAATGACGATGGCAGTCACAACAGTTGTGATGACGATGATGATGATGAAGATGGTGGCGTTGATATATATCGACAATGAGAATGAGCATGGCAGTGATGACGTCAATGACGATGGCAGTCACAACAGTTGTGATGATGATGATGAAGATGGTGGCGTTGATATATATCGACAATGAGAATGAGCATGGCAGTGATGACGTCAATGGCGATTGCAATCACAACAGTTGTGATGATTTCGATTTAAAGCTTTCGTGACTGCAGGGATTCATCTTCTTGGTTATTTCGGTAAAGTAACGTAGAAGGGAAATAATAAAATAATAAAAATAAAACACAATACATGCAATAAAATAAACATAATAAGATACAATTGTCACCGGTGAGAATTGTATTTTATGTTTAATTTCTATTCTTTTATTATTTCCCTTCTACGTGACTTTACCGAAAGAACCAAGAAGTTGTGATGATGCTGATGACGACGATGATGACGATGCTGACGACGATGATTCGTTGTGCCTGCCCAGGTGTGCTCTACGGAAGCGCTTGCACGGCTATGGCTGTGGCGGCGTCATACATGGGACAGGTGCTGCAGGTAAGAGCACGTGACAGGTGTACGACCTACACAGGTGGGGGGGGGTGGGGTGTTGGTTGGTTGCCACGTGTGGGTCTGGACTCTGGCTTCCTCGGAACTCGCCCTTACAAGGACGTAGAGCCGGGAGTCCCAGAGTCCCACCACTGGCCCTCACAGCGTCCCGGCCCTTACAAGGACAAGCGGGACGAGGGGGTCCAGGGTCCTAAGCTGGCTGGTCTTGGGTCTTGGGTCTTGAGCTGCGACTGGCCCCGATTGGCCAGGGAGCTGCCCTTTTATGCCTCGTCCCCAACGAGGGGTGGGGCTGTGTGCACCCCCAAATATCCCGCAGAGCACACACAGCCCCCCCTGTTGGTGGCGCCAAGGGGCTTAAGCGTCTGGGGTGCCTGGGATCCTGGTGCCAAGGGGCTTATCTGCCTAGGATCCCAGAGCCCCCAGCAACCCCTCCCCTCTTATGGCACTACACATGGGACAGGTGCTGCAGGTAAGAGCACGTGACAGGTGTACGACCTACACAGTTGGGGGGTGGGGGGGGTTGCCACGTGTTTGACCCGACCCCGGTCCGGTCACACTGGTTTACAGAACAAAATGCTGCCGAAATAAACGTAGACCAAACTTTGAGTTAAAGCTTTCGTGACCGCAGGGATTAATATTTTTGGTTCTTTCGGTAAAGTCACGTAGAAGGGAAATAATAAAATAATAAAAATATTAAACAATTAAATTCTCACGACGTTTCGACTGCAACACAAGCAATCATCATCAGGTGTGAAATCCGCAGCACTTTTCTAATTTTCTTGCTGTGGATTTCACACCTGATAATGATTGCTTGTGTTGCAGTCGAAAACGTCGTGAACATTTTATTGGCGGTGGTGATGATGATTATGACAAATGATGGCCTTGCTGATGATGACGATGGTGGCGGTGGTGATGATGATGATGACAAATGATGACCTTGCTGATGATGATGATGATGACAAATGATGGCCTTGCTGATGATGGTGGTGGTGATGATGATTATGACGATGGCCTTGCTGGTGATGATGATGATGGTGGTGGCGGTGCTGATGATGACGATGGTGGCAGTGCTGATGATGATGATGAAGACGATGGTGGCGGTGATGATGATGATGATGACGATGGTGGCGGCGGTACTGATGATGATGATGATGATGAAGACGATGGTGGCGGTGATGATGATGATGATGACGATGGTGGCAGTGCTGATGATGATGAAGACGATGGTGGCGGTGATGATGATGATGATGACGATGGTGGCGGCGGTACTGATGATGATGATGATGACGATGGTGGCGGTGATGATGATGATGATGACGATGGTGGTGGCGGTGATGATGATGAAGACGATGGCGGCGGTGCTGATGATGATGATGACGATGGTGGCAGTGCTGATGATGATGATGAAGACGATGGTGGCGGTGATGATGATGATGATGATGACGATGGTGGCGGCGGTACTGATGATGATGATGAAGACGATGGTGGCGGTGATGATGATGATGATGATGACGATGGTGGTGGCGGTGATGATGATGAAGACGATGGCGGCGGTGCTGATGATGATGATGACGATGGTGGCAGTGCTGATGATGATGATGAAGACGATGGTGGCGGTGATGATGATGATGATGACGATGGTGGCGGCGGTACTGATGATGATGATGAAGACGATGGCGGCGGTGCTGATGATGATGATGACGATGGTGGCGGCGGTGCTGATGATGATGATGATGACGATGTTGGTGGCGGTGATGATGATGAAGACGATGGCGGCGGTGCTGATGATGATGATGACGATGGTGGCGGTGATGATGATGATGACGATGGTGGCGGTGATGATGATGAAGATGATGGCGGCGGTGCTGATGATGATGATGATGACGATGTTGGTGGCGGTGCTGATGATGATGATGACGATGGTGGTGGCAGTGCTGATGATGATGATGACGATGTTGGTGGTGATGATGATGATGATGATGAAGACGATGGTGGCGGTGATGATGATGATGATGATGACGATGTTGGCGGTGCTGATGATGATGATGATGGCGATGGCGGCGGTGCTGATGATGATGATGACGATGGTGGCGGCGGTGCTGATGATGATGATGATGAAGACGATGGTGGTGGTGATGATGACAAATGATGGCCTTGCTGATGATGACGATGGTGGCGGTGCTGATGATGATGATGACGATGACGGCAACGATGGTGACTCCGCGCGCAGGCTGCGCTCAGTATCCATGGCATGGGTGGCGGTCCCGTGCTGGGACTTTTCACCCTCGGCATCCTCTTCCCGTGCGCCAACGTCAAGGTGAGTGGCACGAGGCTCGCCGAGTCAGCGCCACGCACCCCCCGTCAGATCAGCGCGTGAGTTCAAACAACAATAAGTAGCATCTTCTTGGTTCTTTCGGTAAAGTCACGTAGAAGGGAAAATTTTTTATAATAAAAATAAAACATAATAAAATATTACATTTCGATTTAAAGCTTTCGTGACTGCAGGGATTCATCTTCTTGGTTCTTTCGGTAAAGTCATCACGTATAAGGGAAATAATAAAATAATAAAAATAAAACATAATAAAATAATTCTCACGACGTTTCGGCCACAACCCAAGCAGCCGTCCTCAGGTGAAGAACGCTGTCTTTCCAACAGACCTATCTCTCAACATTGCCCCGTTGAATGTCAATTTAAAGCTTTCGTGACTGCAGGGATTCATCTTCTTGGTTCTTTCGGTAAAGTCACGTAGAAGGGAAAAAATAAAATAATAAAAATAAAACATACTAAAATATTACATTTCGATTTAAAGCTTTCGTGACTGCAGGGATTCATCTTCTTGGTTCTTTCGGTAAAGTCATCACGTAGAAGGGAAATAATAAAATAATAAAAATAAAACATAATAAAATAATTCTCACGACGTTTCGGCCACAACGCAAGCAGCCGTCCTCAGGTGAAGAACAGGTCTGTCGGGAAGACAGCGTCTGTGATATTTAAAAAAGAACTTTTTTTAAAAACACGCCTTAATTAAATGTACTCGTAATGGCAGAACTCCACGACTCCAGGATGTTAAGCGTGGACAATTAGACCCAAGCCGAAGCTTAACATATTAAAAAAAATTGTAATATATTCTTTATATAGTGTTGTCATCAGTATGACATAAGTATACCAAGTTTGCAGTCGATACCACATTGGGAAGTGGGTTAAAATTGAGTTACAAGATTTGAGGATACAACAACGACAACAACAACAACAGACAGAGTGAGTTAAAAGAAAGCGTGTAACAACAACAACAACAAAGTGTCCGTGTGTTGTGCACCCCTCCGCCACGCCACGCGGCAGAAGAATTAAGATGACGCTAGCTGAACAAACGCAGGCAAACTGCGCATACACGACACACACACACAGAGTGTACACTACACAGACACACAGTGTGTACACTACACACAGCGTGTACACACACACACAAGCAGTGTGTACACGATGCACACACACGCGCAGGGTTCACGACATGCTCGAAATATCCTGCGGTGAGCGATCACAGTGGGCCAAATCTTAACAATTTCACTTTGCTTGCCATCGTCTTCGTCATCATTGTCGTTTTCGTCGTCATCATCATCATCATCGTCGTCATTGTCATCATCGTCGTCATCATCATCGTCGTCATTGTCATCATCGTCATCATCTTCATCATCATCGTCATCATCGTCGTCATTGTCATCATCGTCATCATCTTCATCATCGTCATTGTCATCATCGTCATCATCATCATCGTCATCATCATCGTCATCATCGTCGTCATCATCGTCGTCATCATCGTCATCATCTTCATCATCGTCGTCATTGTCATCATCGTCATCATCGTCGTCATCATCGTCGTCATTGTCATCATCGTCATCATCTTCATCATCATCGTCATCATCATCGTCGTCATCGTCGTCATTGTCATCACCGTCGTCATCATCATCGTCGTCATCGTCGTCATTGTCATCATCTTCATCATCATCATCATCGTCGTCATCTTCGTCGTCATCATCATCATCATTGTCATCATCGTCGTCATCATCATCATCGTCGTCATCGTCGTCATCGTCATCATCACCGTCATCATCATCGTCGTCATTGTCATCATCGTCATCATCATCATTGTCATCATCATCATCATCGTCATCATCATCATCACCATCGTCATCATCGTCATCATCATCACCATCGTCATCATCATCATCATCACCATCGTCATCATCATTGTCATCACCATCGTCATCATCATCGTCGTCATCATCATCATCGTCGTCATCATCATCATCACCATCGTCGTCATCATCATCATCACCATCGTCATCATCATCATCACCATCGTCGTCATCGTCATCATCACCATCGTCATCATCATCATCATCATCATCGTCGTCATCGTCATCATCACCATCGTCGTCATCATCATCATCACCATCGTCGTCATCATCATCATCATCGTCGTCATCGTCATCATCACCGTCATCGTCATTGCACGCGCGGCCCCCCAATGCGTCGTGCCACCGTTCCCCAGGGCGCGATCGCAGGCACCGTGGCGGGCGTGGTGATGTCCTTCTGGATCGGACTCGGAGCCCTCCTGTACCCACCCACGGACGAGCAGAGCAGAGCGCTGCCGCTCTCCACGCAGAACTGCTCGCGTCCCAACATCACCACGGCGCCCTGGGACGGATCCTCGACTACCTGGGCGAGCACTTCCACGCTCGCCGCCGTCACGGCCGAAGCCGAGTACAGGTGCAGTGACCGCTTCGGAGACGCTGAGAAGTTGGAGTACTTTATGAATCTTCTTGGTTCTTTCGGTAAAGTCACGTAGAAGGGAAGTAATAAAATAATAAAAATAAAAGAAAATAAAATAATTTTTCGATTCAAAGCTTTCGTGACTGCAGGGATTCATCTTCTTGGTTCTTTCGGTAAAGTCACGTAGAAGGGAAGTAATACAATAATAAAAATAAAACATTTTTTAAATAATAATAAAATACAATTCTCACGACCTTTCGGCCACACCGCAATCAGCCGTCCTCCATTTATTAACACGCACCAACAGGTTCACACTTTATAATTGGTTTTTTACCCTTCTATCTGGCAACAAAACTGACACTTTTTTGCCAGATAGAAGGGTAAAAAACCAATCATCATATTTTTTACTGCCAAATGAAGTTTCAAAGTTTCACACTTCCAATGAATCCGTCTATAGCCGACTACGGTTCCCAGCCAGGACAGCTGGTAGACTGCCTCACTGGTGACGCCGAGATAGTGAAGACGGTGAAGACTTCAGCAGAACCACGGGGACCCCACTCCACACGACAGCCCCGAGGTCCCCACCATGTGCCCCCTTTTATACTGCCAGCGGTGGCCACGCCCCCTTTCTAGAACCTACCAGCGGGTTCTCGATGTGCCCCTTCCGTGAGCTTCCCCCTAGAGGCCCCTCTGGTGTGTCACGTGGCCTGCTGACGTCAGGGCTACTGTGGCTGCAGATCCCCTTCCCCGCCAGCAGCAAGCGCTATGCTGCTACACGGCTAATTCTATATTCTTAGATTTTTTTTCGGTAAAGTCACGTAGGTAAAAAATTTAAATTTATAAAAGTAAAATAAAAAATAAAATAATATAATATAATAATAAAATATAATATGATCAATTTAAATGTTTTACCTACGTGACTTTACCGAAAAAACCTAAGAATATGAATCCTTGCAGTCACGAAAGCTTCAAATCTCGAGCTAATTCTACGTCACTACACGGGTGCCAGCTTGCCTCGGCGCTACCATCTGGCACGACGCAAAGTGGGTTCATGAGAGGTCGTGAAGGGTCGCGAGAGGTCACGAGGGGTCGCGAGGGGTCGCGAGGGATCGCGAGGGGTCGCGAGGGGTCGCACGGGGTCGCGACGGGTCGCGACGGGTCGCGACCCCTCGCGAGGGGTCACGAGGGGTCGTGAAGGGTCGCGAGAGGTCGCGAGGGGTCGCGAGGGGTCGCGAGGGGTCGCGAGGGGTCACGAGGGGTCGCGACAGGTCACGAGGGGTCGCGATGGGTCACGAGGGGTCGCGAGGGGTCGCGAGAGGTCGCGAGGGGTCGCGAGGGGTCACGAGGGGTCGCGTGAGGGGTCACGAGGGGTCGCGTGAGGGGTCACGAGGGGTCGTGACGGGTCACGAGGGGTCGTGAAGGGTTGCGAGGGGTCGCGAGAGGTCGCGAGGGGTCGCGAGGGGTCGCGAGGGGTCACGCAGGATCACTCGGGGTCGCACGGGGTCGCGAGGGGTCGCGAGGGGTCACGTGTCCTCTGTGTCCGCAGGCCCGACCTGGCGGACTCGCTCTACGCCGTCTCCTACCTCTACATCAGCACGGTGGGAGCCATCACCGCCGTGCTGGTGGGCCTCGTCGTCAGCCTCGCCACAGGTGAGGAGCAGGAGGAGGCGGCGGCACACGGGTGGCACCCTCGGAGTGGCAAACTCTCGGAAGGGTTAACGTTTTGTTGAAGCACCCTGGTGTGTGTGTGTGTGTGTACACATATACAGTCGCGCCCGCTGCACCCCAGTAGCTGGCAACACCGACTGGATCACCCCCCCCCACCACCACCCCCCACCACCCCACCACCATCTCCCCACCACCCCCCCACCACCACCATCCCCTCCCACCACCCCCCCCACCATCCCCCCCCACCCCCTGCCACCACCACCACTCCTCCCACCACCACCCCCCACTCCTTCCACCACCCCACACCACCACCCCCCCAACCACCCACCCAACACCACCACCACCACCCCCCACCACCCCCCCACCATCCCCCCCCAACCACCCCCCCACCACCACCCCCCATCACCCCCCCCCACCACCACCCCCCACCACCACCACTCCTCCCACCACCACCCCCCCACCCCCCACCCCTTCCACCACCCCACACCACCACCACTCCCCCCACCACCACCCCCACCACCCCCACCCCCACCCTTTCCACCACCATCGCACTACAACCCCCCGCACCACCACCACCCCCCACCACTCCCCCCCACCACCACCCCCCCCACCACCACGTCCGTCCTGACGAGCGTCCCCGTTGTGCTGCCAGGTCCCACGAAAGGCGCCAGTCTGAGTCCCGGCCTCGTGCGCCCCGTCTGTGACCTCTGCTGCTTCTGGTCGGACAAGATGCGGCGCCTGCTGCGGTGCGGGGTGAGGCACGGCGAGGACGAGCCTCAGGTGAGCTCGACACGTGGTCACGGCACACGTGGTCACGACACACGGGTCACGACACACGTGGTCGTCGACACACGTGGTCACGGCACACGTGGTCACGACACACGTGGTCACGACACACGTGGTCACGACACACGTGGTCACGGCACGTGGTCACGATGACACGTGGTCACGACACACGTGGTCACAAGGCACCACGTAGGTCACGGCACACGTGGTCACGACACACGTGGTCATCACGGACAACACGTGGTCACGACACACGTGGTCACGGCACACGTGGTCACGACACACGTGGTCACGGGCACGTGGTCACGGTGCACAGTGTGGTCACGGCACACGTGGTCACGACACACGTGGTCACCGGCACACTGGTCACGACACCACGTGGGTCACCGGACCACACGTGGTCACGGACACACGTGGTCACGGACACGTGGTCACGACACACGTGGTCACGCCACACGTGGTCACGACACACGTTGGTCACGTGCACGTAGGTCCACGGCACACGTGGTCACGGACACTACGTGGTCACCGACACACGTGGTCACGACACACGTGGTCCACGGACAACACGTGGTCACGACACACGTGGTCACGGCACGTGGTCACGGCACGTGGTCACGACACACGTGGTCACGACACACGTGGTCACGACACACGTGGTCACGACACACGTGGTCACGGCACGTAGTCACGGCACGTGGTCACGACACACGTGGTCACGACACACGTGGTCACGACACACGTGGTCACGGCACACGTGGTCACGGCACGTGGTCACGACACGTGGTCACGGCACGTGGTCACGGCACGTGGTCACGACACACGTGGTCACGACACACGTGGTCACGGCACGTGGTCGTCGACACGTGGTCATCGACACACGTGGTCACGGCACGTGGTCAGCACACGTGGTCACGACACACGTGGTCACGGCACACGTGGTCACGACACACGTGGTCACGGCACGTGGTCACGGCACGTGGTCACGACACACGTGGTCACGACACACGTGGTCACGACACACGTGGTCACGACACACGTGGTCACGACACACGTGGTCACGGCACGTAGTCACGGCACGTGGTCACGACACAACGTGGTCACGACACACGTGGTCACGACACGTGGTCACGACACACGTGGTCACGACACACGTGGTCACGGCACACGTGGTCACGGCACGTGGTCACGACACGTGGTCACGGCACGTGGTCACGGCACGTGGTCACGACACACGTGGTCACGACACACGTGGTCACGGCACGTGGTCGTCGACACGTGGTCATCGACACACGTGGTCACGGCACGTGGTCAGCACACGTGGTCACGACACACGTGGTCACGACACACGTGGTCACGACACGTGCCGTGACTACTACTTCCCTTCTACGTGAATCCCTGCAGTCGCGAAAGCTTCAAATCTAGAATTCCAATGGTGCGTTTTGTGGTGCGTTCGCGTCTTTGTAAAAAGGAACCCGAAGATATTCAAGTGGAGGTGCCGGAGGAGAAGAAGCAGCCGCTCGACACGAACGGCCTCGATTCGAACTCCGCAAGTCCCATCAGGCAGACGAAGCTGTAGCAGCGTGGCGCGCCTCCAAACGGAACCTTTCGAGGCGGTGTGGAGGGGATGGGCTACATTCGTCTGGTCGTGACCCCAACGTGACCCCACCGGACCGGACTAAGATTTGGACTTGATCTAACCTCGTTGAGATCTCTCTCTCTCTCTCTGTCTCGCTGTGTCTCTCTTTGCGAGTGTGTGTTGTTGTTGTTGTCGTGTTTGTTTTAATCCCAGCAGCCACTTTGTGTCGAGTAACCCTGTCCACGTTCTCCTTTATATGCGTGGCATCGGGTTTATTTTATTATTCATTTCTGTTTTTCTTGAGTAAGAGTTTCATTTTTATCACATTGGTATATTAAATTAAATATGAAAAAAAATTCCCTAAAAAGTGAAACATTTTGGGGAAAAAATTTCACGAAAATAAATTGTCACGCACAACGAGTCTGTGTGCAAAATGTCAGCTCGATTGGATCACGGGAAGTGGGTTAAAAAACGACCGAAAGATTTGCACGGTCCTAAGCAAGCAAGCAAGCACGCAAGCAAGCAAGCAAGTGAACTTAATATAAAGGATTTAAAAAGAAAGATGTTTGTGAGATGTAAACAACAATAACAACAACGGTTCGGATGAGACAACAATCCTCATCTCTTCCTGTGTTGCTGCTGCTGCTGGCTCCTTTTAGTTCAAACAAAAGGGCTCGCAGTTTCGATGGGGGTCACGGTATCGATTAAATATTCATCTGTGGTTGTTTTTGCATCTCCTCGTTGTCTGTTTTTGTTTGTCCGCTCTGGGTGGAGTTTGGGGGAGCAGGGTGGAGAATGGGGGGGGGGGCAAGGCTCCCCCCCCCGATTCCTAATGTGAAGAACAAAGGGAACCACCCTAAATACAGGGTGATTCAAAACAATGTTAACACTTGTATGGGACTTTAGCTTTAAACGAAAAAAATTAACCCGTAAAAACTAAGTTTTTCACTATAAATCCTTTATATGCGTGGCATCGGGGCGGCTAGAGTCCTCTCGTCCTCTGGCTTGAGATGGCTGCCACCTATGGGTCAGATGATTGTCTGCCACCATTAAGCAATTGGTAATTAAATGTTTAAAAACATTTCCCTAAACAGTGTAAAATTTGAGAAAAAAATTTTCACGAAAATTAATTGTCACGCACAACGAGTCTGTGTGCAAAATGTCAGCTCGATTGGATCACGGGAAGTGGGTTAAAAAACGACCGAAAGATTTGCACGGTCGTAAGCAAGCACGCAAGCACGCAAGCAAGCAAGCAGTGAACTTAATATAAAGGATTTAATGTAATGTTAACAGCTTCAACAAGTCAAACAGTCTCCCCACTTACCCTTTGGTTCTTTCGGTAAAGTCACGTGGCTGGCCATCCTTATAACGCTGTGGGCTCGCGTGATATTGTTTTTTTTCCGAGACCAAGATACTCTGCAAATCTTCGGGCGACGATCAAAGGTTTGTTCATGAAGCCATTCAGATATATAAACATAGACATAATTTCAACCGAGAAGATGTACAGCCCCGATCCATCCGAGTCCACGGAATGGCAGGCCCCACCCTCTCAGCCTTGTACCTCTTTGCTTCAAATCGGAGCTGCTGCCCGTTGTTGCAATCGACCGCTCGAATTGTAGAGCGTTTGCGAAATAGGCCGATAGCAGAGGTCGCAAACGGGTTTTGATTCCTTACCCGTACCCGTACCCGGCCGCACCAGGGTCGCAAACGGGTACCCGTACCAGTACCCGGCCGTACCCGTACCCTACCCGTATCCGGCCGGGTACGGGTAGGGTACGGGTATCGGGTACCCGATTGCGACCTCTGGGATGAAGCCATGTTGCAGGCGCGGGTGGGTTGATTCTAGGAACTTGAATTGTGAGAAGAGACAAGACGTTGGGAAATGAGTGACAAACGGTGACTCACCAGTGACTCACGGCCTACCCGTACCCGGCCGCACCAGGGTCGCAAACGGGTACCCGTACCCGGCCGGGTACGGGTAGCCGGGTATCGGGTAGGGTACGGGTATCGGATACCCGGTTGCGACCTCTGGCCGATAGTGAGCGGGCAACTAATCGCCTGCTGAATGTATGACGAGTCATTCCCGACCCCCCCCCCCCCCCTCGTCCTCACGTGCAAATCCCACCAATCGCGAGCAGGCGGTAACTCGGCCGCGCTCCTGTGAGTGGTCGTCATCCACTTCCGTACACGTGCAGGCTAAGCCAATCAGAAAGCTCAGTGTCGCAAGGCGTCTCTAAACCAATGGGTGCTCCGGCTGCGAAACAATGGAGGTGTGCCAGTGGCCAGCGTCGTAAAACACACAAAAATGTGCCTGTAAGCTTTGAAATTTTTCAGCAATGGGCCCGCACACACACACCACACACACACACCACACACATACCACACACACACACACCACACACACCACCACACGCACACCACACACACACCACCACACACACCACACACACCACACACACCACACACACCACACACACACTACACACACACCACACACACCACCACACACACACACACACACACACACCACACACACACACACACCACACACACACAACACACACACACACACCACCACACACCACACACCACACCACACACACACCACACACCACACACACCACCACACACACACCACACAAACACACCACAAACACACACACACACCTCCCCACGCACACACACCACACACACCCCACACACACCACCACACATACCACACAAACACACCACCCACCACACACACCACACACCACCACACACACACACACCACACACAGACCACACCACAACACCACACACACCACTCACACACACCACACACATACACATCACACACACAGCACACCACCACACACACCACACACACACCACACACACCACACACACACCCCACCACACACACCACACACACCACACACACCACACACCACACCACACACACAGACACACACCACACACACCACCACACACCACACACACCACACACACACACACACCACCACACACACCACACCACACACACCACACACACACCACACCACACACACACCACACACAACACACACAATCAACGTCAACGCTCCCAGTCACACAAGAAGCCACTCCATGCGGAGTCTGTAATAGGGTCCCCCTTTGGTGAGGCGTCACTTTTATTGCGCCATACATTATGAGGCCTTTCGAGCAAAACCCGGAGAATATAACGACAAATGTTAGACCAACATGGCACAACACAATACTCAAGACAACAACAACACACAAACTCAAGACAACAACAACACACAAACTCAAGACAACAACAACAACACACAAACTCAAGACAACAACACAACACACAAAACTCAAGACAACACATTCCAGAGGTAATCCTCCTGTCCAACCCCACTACTAGCCCCCCCCCCTCCTAGCCCTCCCCCCTCCTAGCCCCCCCCTCCTAGCCCCCCCCCCCCTCCTAGCCCCCCCCCTCCTAGCCCTCCCCCCTCCTAGCCCCCCCCCTCCTAGCCCTCCCCCCTCCTAGCCCCCCCCTAGCCACCAACCCCACTCCTAGCCCCCCCCCTCCTAGCCCCCCCCCACTTCTAGCCCCCCCACTCCTAGCCCCCCCCCACTCCTAGCCCTCCCCCCAATCCGAGCCACCCCCCCCACCGCCACCCCCCCCCCACTCCCCACTCCTAGCCATCAACCCCCCCACTCGTAGTCCACCCCCCCCCCACTCCTAGCCACCAACCAAACTCCTAGACCCCCCCCCACTCCTAACCACCCCACCCCTACCCCAAGCCACCAACCCCCCCCCCCACTCAAATATATTTCCAACAAGCCCACCCCCCCAACCCCCCCACTTTTCCACTCCAACCCCCCCCTCTCCCCCCCCAACCCTCTCCCCCACCCCCCCTCTCCCTCTCCCCCCCACCACTCCCCACCACCAACCGCCTCATCCACCCCCCCCCCAACCCCCCACCCCCCCTCCCCCCGCACCAACCGCCTCATCCACCACCCCCCCCAACCCACCCCCCCCTCCCCCCACACCCCCACCCCCCACCCCCCCACCACCAACCGCCTCATCCACCCCCACCCACCCCCTCCGCACCAACCGCCTCATCCACCCCCCCTCCCCCCGCACCAACTGCCTCATCCACCACCCCACCAACCCCACCCCCCACCCACCAACCGCCTCATCCACCACCCCCCCCAACCCCCCGCACCAACCGCCTCATCCACCACCCCCCCCAAACCCACCCCCCCCTCCCCCCCACCCCCTACCCCCCCACCACCAACCGCCTCATCCACCCCCCACCCACCCCCTCCGCACCAACCGCCTCATCCACCACCCCCCCCAACCCACCCCCCCCTCCCCCCCACCCCCCACCCCCCCACCACCAACCGCCTCATCCACCCCCACCCCCCCTCTCCGCACCAACCGCCTCATCCACCCACCCCCCCCAACCCCCCCCTCCCCCCCAACCACCAACCGCCTCATCCACCACCCCCCCCCACCCCACCCCCCACCCACCAACCGCCTCATCCACCACCCCCCCAACCCCACCCCCACCTCCCACCCACCAACCGCCTCATCCACCGCCCCCCCCCAACCCCACCCCACCCCCCACCCACCAACCGCCTCATCCAACCCCCACCCCCCCACCCCCCCACCCCACCAACCGCCTCATCCACCCCCCCCACCCCCCCACCACCAACCGCCTCATCCACCGCCTCTGCGCAGTCGACAGAAGTCTGGCCCAAACGCTCCTAGGCCCTAGCCCCCCCCCACTCCTAGCCACCAACCCCAACCCCCCACCCCCACCCTCCCCCACCCACCCCCCCCCCCAACCCCCCCCCCACCACCAACCGCCTCATCCACCCCCCACCCCCCACCACCAACCGCCTCATCCACCACCCCCCACCCCCCACACCCCCCCCCCCGCACCAAACCGCCTCATCCACCCCCCACCCCCACTCCTCCCCCCACCACCAACCGCCTCATCCACCCCCCACCCCTCCCCCCACCACCACCCGCCTCATCCGCCGCCTCTGCGCAGTCGACAGAAGTCTGGCCCCACGCTCCGCTCGGTGCAGTCGGTGGTGCGCGAGTCGCAGCGGCGGCACGCGCACGACACCGCGGCGGGCACGGAGACGGTGGCCGCGCGGGGACGCGCCGGGCACCCGCGCAGCAGCACCGACGACTCGTAGCGCACCTCCGCGTAGACGCAGGCGCGCTGCACAGAGCGGCCGTTGAGCGCGTAGTTTTGCTGTGGGGGGTGGGGGAGCGGTGGGACAGCGGTTAGCGCGCTGCACAGAGCGGCCGTGGAGAGCGTAGTTTTGCTGTGGGGGGGTAGGGGAGCGGTGGGACAGCGGTTAGCGCGCCTGGGGGTGTGGGGGGAGCGGTGGGGCAGCGGTTTAGCGCAGCAGCACCGACGACTCGTAGCGCACCTCCGAGTAGACGCAGGCGCGCTGCACAGAGCGGCCGTTGAGCGCGTAGTTTTGCTGTGGGGGGTGGGGGAGCGGTGGGACAGCGGTTAGCGCGCTGCACTGAGCGGCCGTGGAGCGCGTAGTTTTTGCTGTGGGGGGTGGGGGAGCGGTGGGACAGCGGTTAGCGCGCTGCACTGAGCGGCCGTGGAGCGCGTAGTTTTGCTGTGGGGGTGGGGGAGCGGTGGGACAGCGGTTAGCGCGCTGCACTGAGCGGCCGTGGAGCGCGTTAGTTTTGCTGTGGGGGGTGGGGGGAGCGGTGGGACAGCGG